AATTTTCGTTGTTTATCGATTTTGATCTTTGTTTGAAGCAAAAATTTGGTATGTCAAAATTTACGAACTGCAAATGGACTAGTCATAGTATTAGATTGTCAGATAACTTTTGTTACACTTTTAGTTTTTTTTTCAAAATCTAAGAATATTTCAAAAGAAATTTTCGATCAAGTAGTGTTGACGGAGTGCAAAACCCATCGGTACTCTTATATTCGCGGTCTGCAAATTTGAAGATTCTAAAGAGAAATTGCCAGAATTTTACAAAAATGAAAAAAAAACTTTCTTACCAACCTCATAACAGAAATTATCACCCAACCTAATACAAGCATTCGTTTGCAAACTTGTGGATGAGAACTATGATTCAAAGCGCCGTAAGGAAGGACTAAAATCGACATTTACTAACAATGGCAGGATTGAGTGAGCAAAGTGGACATTGTAAATCTTCATTCCACGTCATTGGAAACACTGAAACGATTATGAATACTAGAGTAAGCATGTATCGGATGTAAACAGAATGATTCTATAGGTAACAAGAGCAAATCGCATGCTGACGTTGAGAAAACAGAGTAATGACATCATTGAAGCGAAAACTGATCCCCAGTTTTATGTATAGTGCCTCTTTGACTAAAAATTTTACTGTACTTCATCTCATTTTGTTGTAAAGTCATAGCAGATAGGCATGTTTGAACTCTGTTCAAAAAACCGGGAATATGCTCAGAACAGGTGGGCCATAATATCGCAGAATCATGTTATAGAGGCTCTTTGATGCAAATGCATCGCTCCAGCAGAACTACATAAAATTCGAAACAATAGTATAGCGATTTCAGATTGCAGATGTTTAGCATCGAACTGCATATCGAGTGGAGCAGACTTCTGCACCAAAAATCCGATACATTCACTTCGAAACTTCAAAAAACATCGCGTACATCAATTGTATATTTTAAGTAATAAATATTGTAATTGCTTGACATCCTTCCAACCTGATAAATCCCTGAATATGGAGAAAAGATTAGATTTTGTTAGATTTCGTCCTTTTCCTAAAAAGAATTTTTGCTTTAGATTCTTCTTAGGACTTCTTAGGAGCCTAGAATGGCAAAATTTCTGGACTTTTCGGATGACGGTTTTGTGATCCGTAAGTTGAAAATGAAATCACTCAATTTAAACTATCACTATTGTGTACCGGCCATTAGGAAAAGATCAACGGTATTACTCTTGACATCTCTTTTTCTACATTTTTAATGGTTAAGTTAGCTAATTAGCAGTAATCAGACAGAATTTTTTTGAAATGAAGGTTTAACCACACCCTCTGGAAAAATTTGAAGATTCAGCCACGCCCTTTGAGAAAGTTTTTAGGATGTTTTATACCATTTTAGCATATAACCACAAAAGCTGGATTTTTTACAACATTAATTTAAGTTTAGTATATTTTGAGAATTTTTTTTATATCTGCTTTGATGATAAGTCACTGCGCTTCTATAACTTCTGTAGACTATTGCATTCAAAAATTACACAACTATTCAACTCGCAGGGGGGGGGGGAGGAAGGTATAATTCATCAAAAATTTTCTACTTTTGTAACCATGTGCAACCACACCTCCAAATTGCTCTCTATTTTCAGCTTGAGTAGTATTTGTCCACTGAAGCCAGCAGCCTCTCCGTCAACTTACTTACAGCCTTCTCTCTCTTTTTCTCTCACAACAATCAGGTGTAGCCAAAAATTCTTCTTGAAAAATTAGATTTTCTTCGGTCTTTGATCAGTGAGCAGAATGCAGGCAACGTTGGGGAAGGAAACAAAGAACCAGGCATAATTCTGGTGCGAAACCAAAACAGATCTGGAGCCAGGGAAAATTACAGGAAAAGAAGAATAGGACGAAGAGACATTGTTACGAACAAGCTGAAAAATCTAGCAGCTCGGGTAGACACCCATTTGATTCAATTCACGCGATAGCCAAATTGATGTTGTTGTTGCCATCGTTGAATATCACGCTATGGGATACATATGAATCCACCCACCCCCGAAAATGTGCTTTCTGATGCCATTTTGGCTAATTGAGCCTAGGGCTTAATTTATTTACTCCCATAGAACACCAAATTTTGCTAATTAATTGCCCAAATTATCCCCAAAACGAAATGTCATGAGTTTGCGACGTTAATGTGTTTTGCTTGTTCATTGCTTTCTAGAACACTGGAAATGGAAGCGATGATTTTTTGAGTTCACAAATTGTTGCTGAGCGCAACCTACACCGTAAATCATATAATGAGAAGTAAACTGCAAAATTCGTGTAAAAGCTGGAAATTCCTCTTGGAGGTTATTTATTTGTTGTTTCGGGGGTGAAGAAAATTTTTCGAGTGGATTGACATGGCATTAGCACCCGCTTCCTCCCTTCAAGAATAAGATTGGGGATCCTCAAAATTCCAAAAGTCTTCCTCCAAAATCTTTGGGCGCATATAAGCCATACGTCGGGACAAGTTGAGTTTCGAAAATTCAAAATTTTATTCTAGTTTGCAAGTAAAAACAAGTTTTGAAAGACTCCAATCAAAAATATTATTTTCAATACATACAAATCTTCTACTTTTGAATATTAGTTATCTAGAAATGTGCTAGGTTTTGACAAAATCGGTTAACTTAATGTAGAAAAATGTATTGTTGAACAATAAAGCTTCCAAATATGTGGTGGGCGATAGCGGTAATATACGGATAAGGACTATGATGTTTTTTCTTTCTCGTTGAGGGGGTTTTAACATTAGCATACGCTTCCAATAAAAACTTCCCACAATTAGTCATTCAAAATAATCAAATTTCATTATTTTGTTTACATGTGATTAAAATGGCGGTTATTATTTTCAAAGAAACAGCCACTGGTGAAAATACGTTGATGGAGAACTATGAAAGAATACTTCTGTACAATGTAGACACTTTGAAGTACTTTGTAGCAGAAAGTTGTTGCTATCGGAGGACTTCATGAAACTTGAGATGCTTGACAGAGAGAAAAGAAGGGGACATCCTGAATAAGAAAAGCTTACTGAAGTTAAGTAAGTGCACGTTTTGTGTTACACTTGTCGTTTGTACAATTTTTGACATTTTCAGAAAACTCGAGCTTGAAATAGGTATAGTAACAATCAAGTGCAAAGGATTACCATCCAGCATAAATACCTGATTGATGGCCGTGTTAGACGAAGTTTTATAAAAGAAAATCGCTGTCGAGTAATAAGATGTCGAGTATTGGACAGAAAATAAAAATTGTTCGGGCTATCGAGTCAGTCTGTCACAACTGAGCAGAAAGTGAGTGCAGATAAATTCACATAAAACAAAGCTACATATCTTCCATACTGTTTGATTCAGTGGATTGTCGTTGTGCATGTGTATTTAAAGTGGAGCACAAGAAAGAACATCGAAACCAGATAAGGGAGTGAAAAAGAAAGAATGAATGTCTAGTGTATTTTTTTCCAATATGTCCTACAAGTGATTGTTAAGGGTCTTGCGATCATATATCCTATGGTATAGACTGGGTCTCTGCTAAACTAAATTTCGAAGTAGCTCACAAGATATCCTACGAAAAAAAGAGTGGCGTTCCTTAGTAACTCAAAAGACATAAAAGTATTTAGCAAGGGAATTCGAAACCCATCTTTAGAGTATCGGTGACGGCGGTATCATCAAAGATAGACGGTCATAACAAGTGTACTAGGGTAAGTTAGAAGTGTAGAGCGCTTTACATCACTTTTTCGAAATGTCCTCAAACCAGAGAGAATATTGACGCACAAGTGAAGTCAAGTGATATCTAACGCAAATTTTCTTTTTCTTTCCAGTCAATATAACTTCCAGCTCAATCTTCCATCTACTCAGATAATTGCAAAGCTTTCGACACAAAGGACACCTACAAGTCAGCTCGCATAGTTGTCTTTAGACAATTCAGATAGATATTTTAAGCGGCGATCTACCTTGCAAATTGAATGTTTAACAATAATCAAGTTTCAAGCACTTTGGATGTCGAGGGTTCTGCAGGTTTGGTGTATATTTACTTCATAAAATTTTCCGAAACTGAGCGTTTCTAGGATCTTCTAAAAGATCATTCAAGAACTCCCCAAAAAAACAAGATGGAGAAGACTTAGACCCTCTCCAAGTAATCGAGACTTCTGCAGAACCTATACATAAGAATTGTACCAATCAAATGAAGTAACAGAAGGCAGGCAAAATGGGTTAAAAATTTTGAGAATTTTTTGAGCAGCCATGAGAATCAGCTCAATAACACCGCTTCTGAAAAAAAGGGAACGGCACTAAATTTCTCAAGGCATTTGCATATCATTATTCTACTCCATTTGCCGAAAGATTGAAATAAGGATGAAAAGTTCTACACAATCTAGTTCTTTTCAAGGTAAAGATAAGATCGTACATTTCCGAAATCGTTGACTTTTTTTCGAAAAGATGTTGATTCCAAGTGGTTCAAACAATGAAAATTACGGATAAAGATCACCGAATTATCAAACGAAAGCCACAGAGCAACTTGACGAAGTGTCACAATCTCCTTTCCATAGCCTCATATCGGATTACTTGTGCCAGTCGCCTGACCTCTCTCTTACACGATGACAACAATTTTCAATGTGTAAAAAATCAAGATTAGCTTCATGCACAAGCTGTTGACAGAGTAGGAAATCTGATAGCCTGGGCAGCTTGAAAACTTTGCTTGCTTTAGTTTAGTTCGGGAAGAAATAAGTAAACATACAGTTTTCAACAATATCCAGCTGACTTCAGGATGCGTGGAAATACGGCATTGGGGGGGGGAGGGTGAAATATTTTCTTTAACCCAGTATGACCGTTTTCCACCACCCTAATGAACTGATACCTGCAAAAAACTTATTTTTTCAGCAAAAGTGCAACTTAGTGACCGATTTTTTTCTCATTCGCGCTGTCCGAGTTTCCTGTTTCTTGCAATCTGCACCCCCCTTTCTACCCCTATAAAAGGATTTCCAGCTTGAACTCAATATCCCCCGCTCTAATCAGTGATGACCACTTACGGTTACGTTGGCGCCATTATATGCCTTGCTGGCGTACTTGCTGCTCTCTACGGTGTCGCCCATATAGCTGGTGACATAGCCCGCCTACAGGACGAGATTACCTATGGCATGGACGAGTTCCGTGTCATTGTCGATGACACCTGGGACCGTCTCTTGGTGCTGCAGAGTCCCACGGGAGAGTCCCTAAATCCTGCTCCGAGTATTTTTCGACCAAAGCGCTATATCTCTCCGGATACGTGTCACTGCATGGAGGCGTCTATTGGATGCCCACCGGGACCTCCTGGGCCACCTGGCCGTCCGGGTGTGCGTGGTGAGACGGGAGCTCCTGGGATAGATGGTAGGCCTGGAGCACCGGGTGTGAGCCTTGTTGTGACTCATGACATCCCTGGAGGTGAGCTAACTCACATAGTACAATGATAGTTGGATTCCTAATTTTTTAGGATGCATCCTCTGCCCACCTGGACCACCAGGGCCACAAGGACCAGATGGCCCCATCGGCGAACAAGGCTACCCCGGAGTTGTTGGCATGACCGGTGAACTCGGCCGCGATGGTGATCCCGGACCACCAGGACCTGAAGGAGAACCAGGCCCACAAGGGCTTGAAGGCTTTGAAGGTCTACCCGGCCCTGACGGCCAACCAGCTACTGCCTACTTCCCTGGCTCACCCGGAGTAGCTGGAGAACCCGGATGGCCAGGTGATACAGGATTACCTGGAAAAGCAGGCGATCCCGGCATGCCCGGTAATCCAGGGCTTCAGGGACCTCCCGGTCTTCCTGGTAACCCGGGACACGATGGCCATCCCGGACTACCCGGTTCATTAGGTGCTCCTGGTGAGCCAGGGCTGGATGGCAGTTATTGTAATTGTCCTCCGCGATCTGAAAAGGAAGATTTGGCTGTGGACACCGCAAGTTCCTTCAAGAAGAAGAAACGCCGCTTATAATAAGCCAGTTTGCCTTCACAATCAGATTTTTATCTCATGTAGTAGTTGGTCTTGGGTAGACAATAAAGATTTCTGGTGGTTTCCTTTTCTTCATTTTCTGCGGGCAAATAAACAATTCGATTATTCAAAGGCGCCTCATTATAAAGGTTGGACTATGCAAGTCTTTTCAGCAAAGTTTCTCCATTGCTTTTCAGAAAGTAAATTGAATTGAACTGCATATTTTACTTACAACAGGAGTAAATGTCAAAAATGCGGCGGATCACCTCCGGTTTACAATGACGAGTCGATGACAATGCAGTTTCAGTGATAGCTCATCAGATTGGAGTTCATTCATTTTATTTGTCATGTGACAGGCAAAACCCGTCTATGACTGGAATTTTTCTTACAGTTTCGTCTGAACTATTTCACATCGATGGTCATTTCACTAATCATGTGCTCCTGCTGCACCGGCGCGAGACATACTTTAGACTTAGCGTATAAAACCAAGTATTTAGTTTGAGAGTTTACTCAATACGGTAAGATTTGGATGTAATGAATTATTTCAGAAGTATGAAATCTTATAAAAAATATATAAATATATAGGCGATTCGTAGCACGCAGAGACTACGGACATATCGGCGTCTCACTGATCGAGCGCTCTTTCGTTTCTCTTACCATCTGCTGTATCTCCCATGCACAAACTATCTTGGCCGGACGCACTGGCGCTCAGTCTTTGCGTGTCATGAATCGTATATATGCCTTTTATTTGGAAAAAATACCAAACATGATTATACTGCTTATTACATGATTATTTTTATTATTACAACGCATTGAAAAATTTTCTGGTAAATGCAGAAGTCGATCCCAAGTTATAGGACTATTTTATCTTCTTTCTGAAGATATAAATCTATCTATTAGGTTGTCCGGAAATTAATGCCCGTTTTGAATTTCAACCGTAATAAGTCATGCACTTCCCATTTCTAAATAGGTTGCAAAGTACCGTTTGATACAGCAAAGCAAGCTCTACAAGATGGCCATCTCGATTAAGCAACAGCTCTCATCCACCTCGAGTTTTGAGCCAAAAACTAAAAAGACTCAGCCCGAAAAATCGAAAAAAATCGTAACTCAGTTCGTAAAAATCCTACAAAAATACTTGCTTGCTCACGTAAACACTATCCACATAAAACAACTATATACGCCTTTGCCGCATTTTTGCCTCTGCTAGGAATCAAGAAAGCGGAAATTTTCGTGCATTTGCCAAAATGGTGTTGTGCAATTCCCACATAGGTAGTTGTATACTACAAACCTGTATAAGTACAGACTTAAATTTTCAGCTTTCTACAAGCTTTAGTTCTCGAGGAATTTGAATTTTAGCTCGGGCCACCTAACTAGGAAAAGCTATATTTTGTATTTCTCGAGAACTAAAGCTTGTAGAGAGCTGAAAATTTAAGTCTGTACTTCTACAGGCTTGTGGTATGCAACTACCTATGTGGGGACGGCACAGCATCACTTTGGCAAATGCACGAAAATTTCCGTTTTCTTGGTTTTTAACAAAGGGAAAAATGCGGCAACAGCGTATATAAATGTTTTATGTGGATAGTATTTACGAGAGCAAGCAAGAATTTTTGTCGGATTTTTATGAACTGAGTTACGATTTTTTTCAATTTCGGGCAGTTGAATCTTTTTAGTTTTTGGCTCGAAACTCGAGGCGGATAAGAGCTGTTGCTTAATCGAGATCGCCATCTTGTAGAGCTTGCTTTGCTGTATCAAACGGTACTTTGCAACCTATTTAGAAATGGGAAGTGCATGACTTATTACGGTTGAAATTCAAAACGGGCATTAATTTCCGGACAACCTAATAGATAGATTTATATCTTCAGAAAGAAGATAAAATTTATATCTTCAGAAAGAAGATAGAGTAGCCCTAACTTAGGATCGACTTCTGCATCTACCAGAAAATCCTTTAATGCGTTGTAATAATAACAATAATCATGTAATAAGCAGAATAATCCTGTTTGATATTTTTTTTAATAAAAGGCATATATTTATATATTTTTTCCAAACGTAAGGCAATAAAGAGTTACCAGTAACAACCTGTACGGCAGAAGAAAAATATTGAAGTTGACTATATTTTTTTTCCTTTTTTTAGAGTCACTGGCTTAGAGTGCAACAGCTGATTTTATCAGCGCAACTTTTTGTCCGTTTCGAGAATTCTACAAACTACCTTTCCGAAAAGTATTAGCCTGAATGAAGTATTTTGCGTGATTTGAATACTTTGGAGTTTAGGGAAGTTGATGCCTGTTGGTTCGAATAGTACATATTATTCTCAAAAGGTATTCTTTTGAAGTAGAATCGCAGTCATCGATCGCAGCGGCGTCCTCCGCACTGCTGTCCACGATTATCTGCTTATCAAGCCGTCTGCGCGTGTCCTATCTGGCCGACGCTCGGAGGCAAGCGGCGCGACATACGACGCAACTGAACGGGTGCTGTGGGGCTGCGACGGCTCATAAACTTACCTGGCTGGGAGGGTCTTGCGATCAACAAGGCAGGACCTCCATGGTGAGGCTTGGACATTGCACTTTACGGGTTGACCCGTGTGGCAGTCTCGAATTGAGATTCGCCAACAGCTAAATTTTTGCGTGTGGGGCTGCGTACGCGCGGCCCCGACAAGGCTCAAGTTCAATAGGAGACGTTTGTTTTGACTAAAGGCGGTGGATCGGCAAAACTCAACATCTCAAAATTTTGACGCTAAAGATTGTCTTCGCCCGCGTATACCGTGCAATCCCGGTAGCACAGCATGTCTTTCTTGCCGAAAAAAGTGCTCTCGAACTTACACGCGCGAGCCAATCGTACACGCGCTCGGACGAGTTGGCGATGCTCCACTCCATGAGCCTCCAAGTGCACTTGGAGGCTGCCCGGTGCAGCGCTAAACCATTGGGTCCCGCAACGATTCAGTGTCTTCAGCGTTCCTCCACTCGTCCAATTTCAAAGCGAAGGGCATTGGAAAACGCTCGTTCTAGCCATTTTCAAGCTCTCTGAAGCAGATTTTCGGCATCAGCGAATCGGATAACGCCAGGTAAGCGAGAATTTGACAGGTTGAGATTTGCCGAGCCACTGCCTTTAACAAAGCCTGGATAATTATGTGTTGCTCAATAAGGCCGTGGATAATTAACTGTAACAACGACAGAGCCATCGATGACACCATTTAATTTTTCATAGGAAAGGCGATTATTGAGCAATTTGAAAAAATCTTTTGTACAGTTGTATGCGGACTCGCAGTAATGCAAATAGAATTACCCTTTCCGCACTCCTAAGTTTAGGGTATTCTTTCTACCGCAGCAACTGGGCATTCTTATAAGAAAAACTTATCATTTCAACCATTCAAAACTTAAGTAATCGCATCTTGAGCAAATATTTCTCGGATAGATATGCTGCTCTCTCAAATCGGGAACAGGTGCCAGCAGATAAAATACTGATAGGTATCCGCCATTTTCGCTAACTTAAAACTCTACCCTGAAACTGATTACATTTGTAATTATTTGGTTTGGAAAATTTGGAGCGAATTTTATGAGAGCATTTACGATGTCACGTACTTTCCAGACCATAGGATATCAATTTCCACAAAATCTTCAGTAACATCTCGTGCAAAGCAGTTTTTTTCTTCTTTCCTCGACCAAACAGAAACAGAAATAGTAAAAACTGTGATGAATTCTGTAAAAGTAGCAAACTGAGAAAATTATTCTCGCGAGAGGAGAGCGACAGTATAAGCTCCTGCAAGACGAAGGCGGTCGGTACGATGTGCAACGCGGCTGCGACATGGCTGCGTCACAGCAGCGTCACAGCCGCGTCACAGCCACGTCGCACCTCGAACCAACCGCCTTCGTCTTGCAGGAGCTTATACTTGAAGTTAGCCACGCTCTACAAAGAATTTTGGGATGCTTTCCAATTACTAAATCCGAAAAATTTCTCTACAAGGATTTTCGATTATATTCAAGTAACGTTTGCACAATTTTGTAATTCATGAGTATTATTTCAATGATGTGCAAAAAAAACCAATAGAAACATCTGTAATTACCGTGCAAATTGATCTCTGTGATTTTGCTTGGCAGCTGTGTAGAATTCTTCGGACGCACAACTCAATATAATGTCCGTAATCTTAAGCCTTCCAAAAAATTTGTTTTCTGTTACTTCAAATGAATTTTGATTACAAACTAAGTATGAAATCCTTCAAAAGGTGATAGCCTATTGTTACCGTACTGATTCGGGCTACCTCGTGCACTGTGCCTTTTGGTAGATTTATGTTTTACTCACGAACCATTACGATATTTAAGAAACGTTTCCATCATTTAGATGATTTGTGTTGTGCAGGGATCACTCCAGGCTAGTTCGGCTGCAGGTTGTAATTATGCATAATTTTTATTCAAAGTTCTTGTCTTGTTGCCTGTTCAAGTCCTTAGCGAATCTCCAAACCGGAGATTATCTTGCACAATTTGGATACTGAAAACATGCATTTAATCTTTAGCATCAATGACCATTCTTACATTATATATTCGTCACATTTTGTCTTCTTTATTGATTGTTTGGGAGAAGTAGCTTTATACATCAACCTATGCAGTTTTTTGAACTTTGATGATGTGTCAAGTCACAATTCAGATTGTTTGAAAATTACAACCATTCTTCAGTTCTATTTCTAGCTATTATGAGCAACGAACAATTAACGTTCTCACATTAGTCCTGTAACCTTCCTATATTTTAGTTAATTTTTGCACTGAATTGCAAAAAACCATTAGAAATGTTTCCTCAATGATATTTTATTAAATGTAAAATTTGAGTTTTTGGATATACAGTGACCGCCAAAAAGTTGCGGACAAGCCGCCCTCCTTTTTTCATCGCTCATTTCCAGATGGAAAACAAAGATGAAAAAATAATCTGATTGCATGTGGTGATAGAGCTCATCAAGAGCTACAACCCACACATCGCGCTTTCTGGTAAACATGTATTATAAAAATTTTAAAAATGTT